TTTTTTTTTTTTTAAACGTTATATTTTGTTTGAGATCTGAATCATGTTAATCACATTAACATTAGCTAATTTTTACCAGGCAGAGTAATAGATTATTCTCTACATGACTGTTCATGTGCAACCATAGCACAGCCTTGTACCACAAAGGTTTGTTTGCTACAGGTAACTTACTTCACCAGTAGAGTAGCTGTTAACAAAGATGGTTTTCTTTCTTCATTATTTTTGAACGAAGCAAACAGGTGCCGTCTTTGACACCTCCTAGCTCAGATGTCCATCTTAATCTTTTATATTGCTATCAAATTGCCTAATTGTATTTAATGAATTCTGACTAAATTACATTTTGTTCCTGCCATCTGCCCGGACACTGACAGCTGTGAAATAGAAGAAAGATGAGTTTTCTTTCTTTCTTATTTTTTTTTCTAATAGAAAACTGGCTAGTGACAATTCAAAACAGTTTACTTTCTAAGTGTCCGTGTTAAAATAATCAATTTTTGTGTTAGCATGCTGTTCTAAAGTTAATTGGAGTTAAGCCCTTTTTTATATATAGATAAAAAGAAAGTATAGTTGTTTTCTTTTGTTGCAGTTAATTATACATAGCTATGAATTCTTTATGGCTCAAGATCAAGCACCAGCTTTAAAATAAATAAATAAAAAAGACAATTTGAACACTGTTCTGGAAAAATAATAATTCTTCCAAGGAAGTAAAATTCTAAAACTGAAATGGTTATGTGGTAGTATAGTATTTAGCTTCATAAAGCCTTTCTTTACACTACTAATATGTTGTCCTGAGCAGGTTTTCAGGGGAGGTTCAACATTTTATATTTTAACTACCTTTCCCTTGTAACTTTAAAATATAGTTTCAACGAACAATTGTTTTGGGTTTTGTTTAATGCTAGTTAACTGTATTTATTTTGTCATTAAAAGGAAAACTGATGTTAATACTTTCAGCTTTTGAAGAACTCTTGTGCATATGTTTTCATTCAGTGAAATAAGTGCTGAAAATAGAAACATCTAAAAAAAATTGTATGTTGTGTGTGATCCAGGCTTCTATCAACATATCATGGTAGTGTCCAAATTTCAGTTGTCTAGGGATATGCTCAGTAACAACAAACCAAAAAAGTTATTCAAGCTGAAGTTTTATCTGATTTTCTTCAGGCTTCTTCCTGCAAATGTGCTTTTTTCTGTGATTCAGACATCTGTTCTTCCTTGTATATAATCTGGCCATTAAAACCAAGCTATGAAAGTTTTTTCAGAAACCTTAAACTTATCTTCAGTCTTCTTTACCCTATGGAAAGGTAAAACTAGTCTTGCTTTGAGATTCTTCTCAGTTTCCTTCTCTGTGAGAGAACATTTGCATTCTGTATTTCTCACTGTGGACGCAGCCATAGCTAATTTCTCTCAGATGAATGCTTTTATTGCCTGGCTTGAGCGTGTTCCCAGGCAGGATCCTGTCAGTCCTTCCTGCTGAGTTGCTTCCATTAGATATTGAAAAATTATCCTTCTCACTGGAGGAGAGTGCACTATGCTAGCCAGGAGCTTAGTTTATTTGCATTTGAGAAGGAGGTTGTAGTGTCCTATCCTTGATCCAGTAACTCGGACAATGTGAAATAATTTTAAAGGAGATTGGGAGAAAGGTCAAATTCAGGACATGCTCCACAGCTCAGTGGTTAGGAATTTCTCCCGAGAACTCTGTTTTTATAGAAGTCCTGAGAAGGTAATTAGGGGAACTCTGAAAATATATCATTTCTTGCATCTGCATTAGCTGGAGAGAATTGTAAATCTAATTGCTATACTTAGGTATAGTTTTCAAGAGTAATAGAAAATTGCTGTTAACCACTTGGTTGAATACTAGCTAATAGTTTGCTGTTAACTGTTTTCTTCACAGACCTATGTAGCCAACATTCTTATTGCAGTGAATCCATATTTTGATATACCTAAGTTTTATTCTTCAGAAACTATTAAAAAGTACCAGGGTAGATCACTTGGAACATTGCCACCACATGTTTTTGCTATTGGTATGTATTGAGCCTGTATTTGTCTTCTACAAAACAAACATTAAATACTTTACAGTTATCCATAAATTACCACCTGTAACAGTAATTAATTTACTTTAAACTGTTATAAAATAAAACCAGTGATTGCTAAAATTGCAAGTCTTCTTATCCTTGTTATACAGGATTTCAACTTTGAAATTAGCAACCCTGGCAACCCTTGTAGTTGTTGTTCTGTACCTCCAGTGTTTTATGCCTAAGTGGTTTAAATATAGCTTACATCCATTAAAAAAAAAAAAATAAAATCAGATTTTAGAAGTGAAGAGTGATATAATTATGATTGACACTATCTTACAGTGTAGTGATTTCCTTTGCCTTTATTATGTTGCCAGGGTACACACACTGTTTCTTTTTATATGTTTGTGTTACAGGTAGGAAGTGCATTTAAATGTTATTAATGTGATAAACCTGAGTTCAGTCACTTTAGGCAAAAAAATTGGAAACTACGAAACAACATTTGACTTGTTAAAAGTCTCCTCGCTGTGTTGCATTTTGTTTTGTCATCAGAAGTATAAATAGCTGGGGTTTTCATACCTTTTGCATAACAAGAAAACTACTTACACTTACAAGAAAACAACTTCCAAGTTTCCTTGTCTCAGATGTTGCAAAGTGCAACCAAAAGTTTCCCTTTAAAGGACACATTAAAGTAAGATTGATTATAATTTTGTAAATAGACTTAATTCAAGAGATCTAGTTCTAGGTGGTTTTTGTTATACTTTGTCCTGGATGTAGTTGAGTCGCTATTTGCTTTCAAAGACTTCAAGCTCTAACATGTCAGTCTTTAAGGGTGGGCAACTATAATACAATTTAAAGGGAAACTAATGAAATGTAATGCATTCAATTGTAAAGATTTACTTTTTTATTTCTGAAAATGTTACGTTTTAATTTTTGTCTTGTAGCTTAACTTTATGCTTGCAACTCTTCTGAATATTAATTTTCATCATGTTTAATGTTTCCTTCTTTTTAAGCTGATAAAGCATTCCGTGACATGAAAGTACTCAAGATGAGTCAGTCCATCATAGTCTCTGGAGAATCGGGAGCTGGCAAGACAGAGAACACTAAATTTGTTTTGCGGTTTGTACTTTTGGACTGAAGTCATTCAATTAATTTCTTGTGTTGTGTTTTGATTGACATAAAGACAGAGCAAATTGTAAAGTAATCAGTAGGTTTAAGCCACAATTCAGTAAGATACTTCTACATACACTTTAATACAAGAAATTCATAGGGTTAAACTTAAAAGCTGACATGATAGCATACGGAAGTGGCTGGTATATTCACTGAAAGTGACATCATGTAGTAGTTATGGTTTGTGATGCAGTCATTTTGGTATTGTGTATCTGGTACTGTGGTAGATAAAAACGTAACTAGGCTTTTTAACTGTATCTTGCAAGATACTGTTGGTTTTGCCATAAATGTGCATTTCTGTGTTTTCCCTCTTTGTTTCTTTAGTTTGCTTAAGCACCCAGGGTTTTAAACTCTTGATTTTGAGATCACTGCTGTGATTCTGTAATATATTTTTACCCTAATATACTGAATAAGATTGAATAATGGGATTTATTTATTGATGTTCACGTATGACCGATACTAAATCAAGCATATTAAACTACATGAGGCCATGTTGCTGATGATATATCAGCCTTGCTTCCTCTTATATGGTTTTAATGGTTTTGACCACATTTGCTTTATACTTCAGCTGCTTTATATCACTCTGAAACTTTGTAACTGGAAAGGACTGCTCCATTAAATTCACCTATATCATAGGTAGCCTGATTATTCCACAGTGCAGGCAGTGTGAATATGCTCCCTTCCCCGCCTTGTCCTTGTATCCCAGATTAAGTCTTTTAATTCCATTTTCCCTCACATGTATTCTCTAGTATGTAAGTACAGGAGAGGTATTACCATCCACATCCCATGAAGAATTGTCAAGGCTGTTTGTCCTTCATATGGCTCTTTGCTCCTGTGCAACTTTTAACAGATAGCTGTAAAAATTACTGCAAGGTGCTGGTAATGATTTTTACAGGGGACATCCTAACTTTGATCCTGCTAAGACCTAAAAAAGATGGCAGGCATTGGGAGAACATCTGAGGAATGCTCTCAGAGGAGATTATTCTTTCGCTTCTTGGCAAAGGAAGTTCTGATTACATGGCAGGCAAATACTGGTGCTGCCGTACTCCCCACCACCCACCCCTGTAGAGTCTGCGTGCAAAACATCTTTGGGTTTTAAAAGCAGGAATTTTTTTCCCTTGTGTGTTCAGAAAGCAGAACCAACTAATACAGCTCTGTTAGTGCTCCTAAATTATTTTTGGAAGGCCTCACTTCTAAGAACTGATTTTTAACTCATCCCAGATTTACTTGTGAATTTCCAGAAAGCATGCCCTGTGCTTAGGGAGAAAGGAGGGGGGAAAAAAAAAAAAAGTTGCAACTTTGGATCAATTATGTTATTGATTTATTTCCAGATTCTTTCTTCGCTTGCTAAATTGTATCTTACCTTGATAATGCACCTATAATTTCCTATCTCACCATCTCCATGTGAGATTTTTATTAACACTGATAGTTATGAACACAGAAGCTGTATGCCTGGAAAGTGTTTAATTCAGGAAATACATATGAAACCTTACTCGTTTACTAAGATTATTAAGAAATACAGTACAGTAATAGTTTCATTATTTGTATAAAAGTGTAATTTCCATATGTACATCTAGAAGAAATTTCTAGCATATTTTGAAGTACTGACAAAATCTGAAATCTGCAAGAATATTTGTTTTAACAAAAAAGAAAAGTCAAACTGCCTTTATTTAAAAAAATATGGGTATTTGGAATTGTAATCAATATGCTTTCCCTTTAGTAAATGGTTAGTATGTATGGTGCATGGACATGCTAAGTTCTGTTGACTTGAGGTAACCTGACACATGAAAGATACTGATATTTTTATCCTGCTTTACAGGTATTTGACAGAATCCTATGGTACTGGGCAAGATATTGATGATAGAATTGTAGAAGGTATTGAATTTTCTTTAATTGAATTAAAGATTCCAATGTTTTACTTTCTTTTTTTCTTTCAAAATTTGAAATGTCAGTCAACAGTAACTAAATAAAAGATAGGATGAAAATAGTATCAGACTTCCTTTATACTCTCAGACTTCCTTTATGGGTAGTTTACCATGATCCTAAATTCTGAAAACATATTTTTATCTGTGATTCACTTTATTTAGTATAGTGTCACATAGTCCTTGATCTAGAAAATGTTTAAGAGTGTGTTTGATTTGAACTTCACACACGTATGTACCCAAGATAAATTTTATGCTGTATGAAATCTGCAAGGACAAGATTATGTTCTCATTACTATCTATTAGTACCAGGAAAGAGTAGTTCCTTCTCCTCACCATGAAGTTCTCAAAGCCAGATAAAGCAGGGAAGTTCTTTTAAATTATGGTTCTGGGTCATTTTTGTTATGCCTTTTTTGTCAAAAAGCACATAATTCGTATTAACACTTCCATTGTGTCTATCTTTTGATTCCCAAACAAGGTTATTAGACTGTACTGATCATCAATTTGAGCCTCTTTAATATTGCATGCACTTCCTAATTGAATAGAAGATAACTTTTAGAGAAAACACAAATATCTCAAAACCAAACAACCCTCGGCCAATCTAATATGTCAGTTTAGTCTTCCATGCATATAGTAGATTTATATTGTAATTTCATTACTCTGTCTTTTTCTTAACCCAATATTTTTTACTTTTGCTTTAATTTTTCTGTTTTCAAATTCGAGACACTAGATTATTCAAGAGAACTACTTCAGGCTTTAATCTCTTGTTGCTGTAGGTTTGCTTAAACCAACTCCTTAGTGAAATCTGCTGTGTGCCAAAGGAACTCAAAAAGTGGACAAGAATTGCATAATGCCTGATGTAGTATGCCATAAAATTAATTGATACTTGTAGGTGTTCTTAGAAAAGTTTGGGGTTTTTAATCTAAAACAGCATCTGATGCATGAATTTTGAAGTTTTTTAGGCACAATTTTGATGAGAATGCTTACAGCATATGTATTACTAGAGGAACCTTTAACCTATCTGAAAGACCTTTTGCAATTTGTTTTTATTCATATTTTCTTCAAAAATGTTAATATTATGTAAAATACCTGAATTGTTATCAAAGATCTCTTAAGAAGTCAGTTTTGAAAGTCAGATTTGCATTTTCATAAGCTTTAAGTATTAAAAGCTTTATTCAAAAGCTTTATTAATATTATTAATATGCTTAATAATTATTATTATTAATAATTATTAATAATATCAATGTATATTAATATAATAATTATTTATTATTATTAATAATAAATATTAATAATTATTACTAATATTAATGGTTATCAATATGCTAATTAATATAATTAGCATATTAATTCATAAGCTTTAAGTATTAAAAAAATGAAAAACCTAGCCAAAGGTTAGAAAAGTTAATGCTGATATTGTCCTACTAAATGACACGTTATTATCCATAATTTATCCAATCATGGTAGTTATTCCTTCATTCTTTAATTTTTTAGGAGCAGATTTGTAGATTGTTGTTGGAGTTTTAAATCTGAGTTTCTGCTCACTTAGTTTCCAATGAATAATTTTTTAGTTAAAAGCCTTAAAAAAATCTTGCAGATATTTTCAATGGTTTATTGTTAGTGCGACTCAGTAAATGTTTTCTTTGATCTTCAGAGCTAGTAAATGCAGTCTTTCAGAGGCCTTGTATTTCATAACTACTAAGCATTTTCAAACTGATTGAACTGTGCATGACGTGGGGGGAGAGAGAGGGAGAGACTTTAGGTTGCTGCCACTCTTTCTGTATGGGCTTTAAGGTGCTTGAAAACTGCAGCCAGTAAAAAATTAAATCACTCAATCACTTAATTGACCTAATTTGAAAGGGCATTTTAAAGATGTTTTTGAAATCCACACTCTTCTAATACGTTTTTTTAATTCTGTAATCAATCTAACGTCACATGCATGACATTTAAGTGACACTGTTATCTGTGGAATAAGTGGGTAGTTTAGATTTTATGAATAGCAATTCATTGGGAAGTGTCAAATTGTGTGTTGTCTCCTATAGTTTATGTATCAGTTATTTACCTACTTGCTGTAGAACAACATTACTAAATAAATTTTGGTGCTTGTCTCTGAATTTCTTACACTATTGATTCGAATTGCAATGTTATGTGATATTTAAATACTTCATTGTAAGTTCCATCACAGTAGATCCAGTACAATTTGCAAAATTGATTGTTCCTCAGAGGTGATATTTTTCCTTTAATTTTCAAACCTTATTCCCAATAAGTTCACTGCATAATTAGTATGTATTTGTTCTTCTTTCTTTTTGGTAGTTTACTGATCTGATTTTAACACTTTAAAAAATTTAATTTTTTAAACAGCAAATCCCCTATTAGAAGCCTTTGGAAATGCAAAGACTGTTCGCAACAACAACAGCAGTCGTTTTGGGAAATTTGTAGAAATTCACTTCAATGAAAAGGTACTGGAATTCTGATAATGGATAACCAGTGATGATGTTTTTGCCATAAAATGGTAATGCTAGACTGGAAGTTCAATAATTTATCTTGCACCAAATAGCTACTGTCCTGCTTTACAGATATGACTTGTATTCTATCACCTTGAAAGAAAAACCAGAGCCACCAAGTACTGTGTCAGTACCGGAAAGTGGTGGGTCAAGTCAGTAGGAAAATTACTTCCATCCACAGAAGAATAATATATTATGCAAATATAATATGCAAAAAGGCATATCTAAGGAATACTTGCTGTTAAGTATTTATGCATTCATTTAATGCACAAATAAGTGTCAGTTGCATATTAGATATAAACATATTTTAATGCTTTAATACTCGAAATGAATTATAGATGGCTTTATGTATTTATATGAGGTTTTGGGACCTCACATTAGTATTATGTATGTGACAGAAGTCATGGAATTGTTTTTTGTCAGAAGTTCGCTGTGTAGCTTATGAAAAATTGTCTTTGTTTGGGTGTAGTTTTGCTTGGATAGCATATGTATACACACATTTTACAATTCAAGGATGACTGTATAGCTGCCCAGCATTCCAAGTTGAAGACTTTTGTTGACGATCCCTGTAGAGATTATAAAAGTGCTGCCTCCTCATCTTTCAGATTGAGGACATAAAGAAAAAATTCTTGCAGTTCCTCCTTCCTGCAGAGTTTAAGGTCATCATCTGGTCTTGAGCTTATGGTCTTTTCCTAAGTTTTCACCCCTTGGTTTGTAACTGAACTTCATATCTTTGGTTAATAGTTGAGATAGTAAATAAATAAATTAATTCCTTTAAGGATAGAGGGACTTTATCTGTTGGTCCAGTTCATGTTAATAATAAATTATGGAAAACACCCAAATTTCTACTTGGAATGATGTCAGTCTATCTGTCAACACTTAATGGTGTTTCAGATTAATTGCTTCATCTGAAGCAAATAGCACTCAGCCTATCTTCAGAAACTGCTTAAAAGCCTGTTTAAGCTTTCCAGGGCAAGATCAGCCTGTTTACTTGAGCCCTTTTTTACAAGACTTCATACTTCACAAGACTTCACTTCATGGTGACCTTATTAGATCTGATTTCTCAAAGTAATATAAGTATGGACTGGGGCCTCCTGAATGAGTGAATGACTGCATAGCCATTGTCAAATTTGTCAGTCAGTAAGTCCTTATTAGTTGCTTTAATGGTCGTAAGCTCAGGAATTTCCTTGTTATTAAGATTTGTCTAGGCACAGGGAATTTTATCGTAGGCCAGATAACAAATTGTTTTCAAAATCTGTCGGACTTCCATCTCAGAAAAGAAATGCAAGTGTTTAAAACAAAATGTTTGCTCATAATTACTCTACATAAGATGTTGTCCAAATATGTGTTCTTTAGTTTTAACCCATTCTTCTCCTTTGCAAGAGTCTCAATGAAAGGCAGCTAGAGAAGGTTGTAATAGCACAGTAATGGTACTTACTGTCATCCAAGAACTGTAAGGGTGGCTGTAGCAATGGTCTTTGCAGGAACTACTGGAATTCTACCAAGGATTTCTGCTTGTTGGGGTGAAGCAGACCTTTATTTTAAGATGAATGTATGTATATGCAATACATGAATCAGGGGGAGAAGTTGTGGAGCAGTGTTTATTGAGCAAGCTATGATCAGATAAATGTAAATTGAAAACTTATGAATCTCAATCCCAAAAATATTCAGCTAATCAGAAAAACGTTTCTTCCTCCTAGAATTCGGTGGTTGGTGGATTTGTATCGCATTACCTTCTGGAGAAATCTAGGATCTGTGTGCAAGGCAAAGAAGAGAGGAATTATCATATCTTTTACAGGCTTTGTGCTGGTGCTCCAGAAGACATTAGGGAAAAACTGTATCTAAGCTCTCCTGACAACTTCAGGGTGAGTATCAGAGTCAGTGTTTGTAAAGCTCCTCATATTGCTGTACATGGGTTTTTTCCTGTAGGTCTCACTAAATTCTCTATTCATTATCTTTGACAGACTCTTTCCTGTTACAAAATCAGAAGATGTTTTTGTTAAATCTATTTGTTCCTGCTGTTTTTCCTTACTGGAAGATTTCCTGTACTTTATGTCTTAAAATTGAGGAATCTTTGCTTTTTCCAAAAACATGCTGTTGCATACCCAGCTGCTAGTAATGTTGTTATGGGCTCTTCTAGAGGTGTAAAATGTGAATTTCTTGATTGTGATCTAACTGTTCAGTGGGTAACCCATCTTTTAAGTCCTGAAAACTGCATTTATTTCTTCCTATTCTAACTGTATGTTTAGGAAGACATAGGAGTTGTCCCATGATTCTCTCTCTTAAGTTGTTCTTCCCTTACACTTTCCACCAAGGATCAGACCATGGTGACAGGGTTGTTATGCTTCTCTGTTCTAGTCCATGTGCTTTCCTCTGTTGTTCTTGGTCTCTCCAGGTTATATCATAAGATTCACCAGTCCCTTTCAGCTGAAAGCTCACCCTTTTATCTCCAGTTGATCCAAAGCCTATGCTCAGCTCTTCCTGCCGAGATTACTTCTATTCATTAAGCATGATTCTCCTTCTTCGGTTTTTCTTCACCTAATTTACTCTTTCCTGAGGACTACTTACTATTTCTGAGTTTTGGCTGTCTTTCCACAATCTGTTACAGTTCCAGTCAGTCAAGTAATGGAGAAGCCAATAAAGTACAAATAAAATCAATGCTGAATGTAATAGTCCTAACTATACCTTAGATAAAATTGAGCTTAAACAGCTGGGAAATAAGACTTGAATCATTGTACATACTTCTTTAAAAATGTTAGGTGAATGTTCAGTGGCAGGGAAAAAGCAGAATAACATTTTAGAAGTTGTTAGCAAAGGGAGAATGAAATAGTGAGTTATGCTGCAGTGTACGTCCATGTTTGTAAACAGCATACACAGCTTTTGTCATCCCGACTCAGAAAGGTATAGTAAAATCCTTGGGTGAAGTAGAGGTCATGTTTGAAGACAATCTCTTGAGTAGCATAGGCCTTTTAATTCAATTCAGTGTGCCTGTTCTGATTTGTTTACTGCCTTTACTTCTTCTCCCCATGCTTTATTTTTAGGGTTTTTGCCTTTTTCTGAAACTATGTGGTGTCTCCCAGTTAACCCTGATTCTGTATTATGTTTCTAGTAGCAATCCCACAAGAAGGCTGTTTTTCTGTCCTATCATTATGTTCTTGCATTCTTTCCTCCCATGTTTCCACTGAATGGTTTTTGCTACTTCATTTTAACTTTTCCTCCATCTTTCCTTCTTTCTCTTTTCTCAGTGTTCTGATTTCACTGAACTGTTTTCAGAAATGATTGGTAAATAACATGACATTTCCTTTTGCTTTCTTCCCTTTCTTGTCAGTCAGATTTTTTTCTCTATTTTATTTTTGGTTTGCCTGAGTGACTCCAACCGTATTTCCCTTATTTTTAAATTCTCTTATTTTCTTAGCGTATTACATTTTAATTATTGCAGTATTTTTTTCCTTGAGATAATAATATTATTGAACTCTTTACTGATACAGTGTTTCTCATTCTTTTCCTGATTGTCCCTTCTCTTTCTCCTCAAGTTTTGCTATGACTTTTAACATCTTTCTAAACCTATTCACATCTTACACTGTTATCACAATTTTACTAGTAAGGTGAAGACTCTTGCCTTCAATCATTCATTCCTGCTATTTAATTATATATAAATGTATTGGTAGGTTTTTCTTTTGTTTTTCTTTCCCTTTTGACAATCACACTTGAACTGTAAATATCTACAAATATACATCATGTGCTTTGTTGACTTGCATTGAAAAGAAAAATATTGGCAAATCAAGTCATACTGGTAAATTACTGGTCAGTTGTTTGCTTATGTTCCATGGTTTATCTCTCTCTCTCTCCACTGTCCCTTGGCTTATGCCTGGCTTGGAATCTCATGGAAACAGAATTTTGTGTATTTCTAAAATACACAGACCAAATCCCTGCCATGAGTTTGGAACGGTTTTGTAACACAACCCTGGAGAGCATGTGCAATTACAAGGATATAAATTAATTAACTGTCATCTTTTTATACTTCCTTGATCTTAAACGGGGTGAGGGGCACTGCTAACAAAGAATTACATTACTGTGTTGATTGGGTTTTTTTGTTGATGTATGTTCATACTTGGTTTTCTAAATAAAACTTGGACTGTGCTTATTTGTTACTTTCTCAAAAATATTTTGCACTCAATTTCATCAGAATTCAGCAGAGGGCTAGAAGCCTTAAAGATACAAAGTTCCCACTAGTTTTGTGCAAAGCAGTGGTTGCATAGATAACACCTAAATTAGTGTACTCGTTGTAGGGAAGGCAGGTGTACGCTGATGACCGAACAGGTTGCTTCTGTCTCTGGGCTTAGCCGAGTCACTCTCTGCTGCCTGATGAGCCAGGAAGTGGCCACAAAACTGCTGATTCCTATTATTCACATCATACATTTGTACTGTGGTATCTAGGTGATCTTGCTTCCTAAAAGCCACGGCAGTATTTTAGGACAAGTTCCCTACTTCCTCAAAGGCATTCCTAGAGGCCTTTGTAGACCTTACATTATTTCTTGAAATATTTAGTTTGTATCTTCTTATAGTTCATCTATTTGTGCAATGGAAACCTGATCTGATGCTTATTAAGAAGGAACCGTTTCTGTTCTTTAGAACGAAATCTTTTCTTCTGAATCACCCAACAAACACAATACTTAAAAAAAACCAGCACCATTTATTTTCATATGATATGGTGCTAGTTTTCAAAACTTTCTTCTTTACTGTGCAGTTCCTCTATGTAGTATTCTCTTGTATGCTTTAAAGTTAAAATCTTGAACAAATTTTCAAATATACATTTTTATTGTGCAGCCATTTTTCCATTAAAACTTACTTCTTGTAGTTAATAGATTTTTAATTCTGGAACTGCATGTGCTGTGTGCCCACTCTTGGAGATTTTTTTAATCAAACACTCTGCACACAAGGCTGTAGATGTCAAGGTCAGAATATAACCTGCTTAAAATGAGGCTGGTTGCAGTACAGTACTGAACAGCCTGAGTGTCTTGACAGAAGGCACTCATTTGCCAGTTTCAATTACAAAGAGTTTACAGTCACATCAGCCTTATCACACCGTGACATAATTTATTTGACTTTGCTAAATTTGCAACAGGTACTTTCATTTCCATTAAGTATATTTGTTGCTTTACCATAAACTAGTATTTGAATCCCAAGTTCTTTGCTGCTTGTTAAAATTTATAATATTAACATATAACTTATTTTTAATTAAAAAAAAATTAACTTCTGAAATGTTTTAAAAAAAGTTTTCACTGTTTAAATGTTACATTTGTCACCTAGTTTTCTTCTGCTGTTAAAAATGCTTTGAAGAATGTTTTACTTTTTAGTATTTTCTATATGAATTTTAATTAAAGGGTAGAATTATCTGTGTTCACCTAATTAAAATCTTCTTTGTTCATGGGCTACAGCAGAGAATCAGTTCACTTCCTTTAGACAAAGGGCTCTGTCCAAGCTTTTGGACGCAGTTCTTAGTTTCAGCTGAACAAATCAAAAAGAAAAAGATGGTGATCCCATTTTGCTCGAAGTCTCAGTCATTATCTGAATGCCTGGTCTATTCCCTTTACTGCACAACATGAGATGGATGTCAGAAGCCAGATTCTGAGTTAGGCTTCTGCTTGTACCATGTTACATGTTTTTAATACTCTTCAGTGCTTTGAATATGCCACATCTCTTAGTACCTATAGAAATATTTCACTGGTGAGGAAAAAATGAATAAAGTTTGGAATTACACATAGGCCAGAAAATTTATTTTCTTGGTTCCTGATTTCGATTTTCTTTTCTGTAATCCCAGACTCCATTAATAGGTTTAATATAGTCAAACTGCGAAAATATTGTGGGACTTAACAAAATTAATATCCCACTGTGTCAAAAAGCATTTTACTTGTCAAAATCAAGACGTTTTCAATAGAAGTTTGTTACTGTTGCACTTCTGTAATTTTGTAGATGTAAATATATACATTTTCAAGGAAGGAATTCTGAATACCTACCATGTTGGTAGTACCACGTGATTAAGCTATGTAGACCAAGTCTTAAATAAAATCACGTTTTCCTTATTTCTGTCTTTTAAGTACGCATTTCCACTTTTTTATTGTTACAGTATTTAAATCGAGGCTGTACCAGATACTTTGCTAACAAAGAAACAGACAAGCAGATTTTGCAGAATCGCAAGAGTCCTGAGGTATGTTTGTATCTTCAGTTGGTTTATATTATTGATTAATGCAGATAGAGTTGAAAATTATGATTATGGTTTTACAGTGTGGAATGAAATGTTCATTTTGCACATCTGTATAGGTCTAAATGGGTACTGTCAAAGCTGGTATATTCAGAACTCTGGTTTTGGAGTTCAGTCCTAGAAATGCATTTTGACATGCATCTTAAAATCCAAAATGGAACAGTATATAAAACTGTTTCCTTTACATTCTTATAATAATAAAATACCTAATGATGCAGCTTGTCTTCTGTGGAAAACAAAAATCAAGAATTTTTAAAATTTTTCTTTTTAAACATTACTACAGGTAGTAATAGGTCAGAAGCAGTAGTCTTTTCTTCCTTTCCTGGAAGAAAGCGTGAAACTTCAAAACATTTCTTTCCTCTTTGTCCATTTTACTTTTTTTTTTTAAACTTAAATGCTACAGTTTCTGGTCATTCCAGCCTTTAAGCTTGTTCACATGAGGACACTAAAAAATTCAATCTGAATTAATAGTATATGTGAATTGGAAGTTGTTTAAACACTTCATTAAACAACTTCTCTGTTCTCTAATACAATGTTGAACGCTTCATGCCTAAAGTATGAATTTTTCATTGGAATGGCTGGAAGATATTTCAATTATTAATCAAAGCCTTAAGTGTGATTCAGTAGCAGTGCAATCTGCATATACAGGTGGAAAAATACAAATATGAATTTCCTCAAGAGTGTCTCTCCCCCAATGACCATACAATCTATTTTACCTTTGAGAACTTGGTCTTGAGCTTGTAGATAGCTTGTGCCTGGCTATGAGAGACAATATAGGTACTTCTTTGCTCAAGTCAACATTGTAAAGTCTACTCCTGGATTTCTAGTGTTTGTATGTTGTAACACTGAACATGTAATACCAATTTCTTTTACTTGAATGTAGGCCATTTTCTATAATAAGGGGTGCTGGAGAGTGAGATACAGAAATGCTGATTTGATACTACTGTGAGTCAGAAAGCTGGTGGATATTTCATTCTCATCAAGCAGACAGTCTAAGAGATGCTTGAGAGATTTTGCCTCAGTTTACTTAATTTGCCTTAAATGAAGATATGTAGTGAGGTTGGTCATTTATTTGGGCATAAAGTATCAACGTTCATCTATTGCTACTGAAAGATGAGCCTGTGCAATCTTCTGTTATTGATGTGATTTACAGTAGGCGGGTGTTCTGTCATAAAACATGTCCTCTGAAGGACTTAATTTGAAATAAGTGTTTGTCTAAACTAAAATATACTGAGAGAATAATTCTAAAAATGTGTATTAGACATTAAGTAGTGGAACATATGATGCCATAATATCTGTATGTTCACAGCCATATGAGTTTGAAGGCCCAATAAAGGATAAAATTTCAATGATATTCAAATCTGGTCTAGACACTTAAACAATAAATATATTACACTGTTCATGTTTTTAAATCAGAAATTGAGTATTTGCTCTGTCATTTTAAGCAAAATATTGTTTATTTTTATAAAAGTAGATGGAATAGTCAATTAATACTTAAATTATTTTTGTGTTTTCCCTATCAGGAAGATGAGGTGATTATTTTACATAATTAAGATGTAGTTTAATTTTAATAAATGTAGTTTAATAGTATTGATGTGTCTAAATGTTGTGTGAATTTTTCAGATGCATGTGGTGTTTTGGTTTGATAAAAATCACGTTAGCTTATTTGATATTAATGAGGCTTCTATTTGAATTATTTTTTTTAGTTGAAAACAAAGTAATTGTAAAAACTTAGGTCCCTCTGTGCATGTTCAGTTAGTCTCTTGATTGCATGCAGATGTGTTACTATCTCCTATGTAAACCTATTAATAATTAAAATAACTTGATATATTTAAATTAGGAAAATCAGCAAAATGTTATTTTAAAACATAGCTGGTATTTTTCTAACCCACAGAACACTGTAAACAACTTTTCTGTTTCTTAATCACCAGCGAATGTTAACAAGTATATTTCTTTAAATCTGTTTAGGATAAGGATAACTTTCCAGTTCTGATTTGTCCTATAAGCCTTTCCCATGTCCTATCAGACTTCCTGTCATCCTATCCCAAGGACCTCAATCATCTTTCAGCTGTTGGGGGCTAGAAGCACTCCTCTGTAGCAATGCTTTGATAGCTCCCTTAGCCAGTCTTCCTTTCCACTGCTTGCTATCCTATATTTTCCCCATCCTTAGTTGTCACATTCTCCAACTTCTGCTTTCTGAAGATAGTTTGAAGTTTGCTTTGAAGTTGAAGTTTAAAGGTCATGCTTCAAAGTATCAACACCATAAATAAGGGTTTTTGCAAAGCCTGTATTATCTGAAGAGCTCTAATATTTTCTACTTAGTTTGGCATGCTTTTTTATGCTTTTTGTTATGGTTTATTCTTGACTGGAAATAATTGCTTACATTTACTTTAAAATCACTTATTGTTTATCAATCACTTTTTGTTTATCTTGTTGTTTTCTAGTATCTCAAAGCAGGGTCCTTGAAAGATCCACTCTTAGATGATCATGGAGATTTCAACAGAATGTGCACAGCAATGAAAAAGATTGGACTGGATGATGCAGAAAAACTTGATCTTTTTAGAGTAGTGGCTGGTGTCCTTCACCTTGGAAATATTGATTTTGAAGAAGCTGGGAGCACATCAGGTTAGATGAAACATAAATTGTTTTCTGTAAAAATATGGAAAATGTCTCTTGATTATAGGTGATTAATTCCATGTGAATTGTTGCTTTAGAAAGCTTCCTCATGTTCAGGGTAATATAGTCTTAATTCACTCCATTTTGAAGTCGTTTACCTGTTTATGTCTCAAAACCATACTTATATTTTAATAATAATTTTAGTCTAACCTCTTGCTAATGTCATAAAAACATCCTGAAATTAGCAACTCCATCTGTAGGAAAAGCCATTATGCCCTTTGGCTTCCAAAAATACCATCATGTTAGTATTTTGAGAGGTGTGGAAAAGAAGTTACAACAAAAACTTAGGTAAATGTAGATTTCTTAATTTTAAGATGTCACTCACAAGATAAGTTGGTATGAGCATAGCTGGGACTCAGCAGAATGTGCAGGAAGGCTGAGGAAGTGGGAATGAGTATTTTGGGATTGGCCGCTCTTACCATACTGCTCAAATCAGCCTCTCTTAAGTTGAGAACCGCTGTCCAGATATTCCTGAAGAACTGAAGAAACTCCCAGTCTGGACATACCACAAATATAACTATAGTAGAAAAGATATGGAAGTACCTCTTTATCTTGAGTTGCAAGATACACAAGATCCGGTGAAACTGGTTCCTCTTAGTCCTACTTCAAGTATGCATAGCTGTTGCCAAACTTGGTAAAATTGTTAGGAAGGTCATACCAAGGAATATTTTAAAAGGTGTTTTGACTGATAAATTAAATGAGTACTAGCCTTATAGGTTCACTAGCTCCCAATCTCAAGCACAGAATCATCACAGAACTGTCCAACCATTCTGTTTGGAAGAGATCATGGGAGATCTCTAGTCCAGTGTGTCCTGGTCAAAGCAGGGCCAACACTGAATTTAGAACAGGTATCTTAGGGTTGTCACAGAGAAGGTGGTTTTCTTCTGTTTTGTTGTGGTTTGTTTTTTTTCTAAGGTCAAATCAGAACATCCCCAGTGTGAATTCATGATCTTGCCATCTTCATGAAGATGACTGAAATGAACATAATTAATGTGAATGAATCTGGGAAGACATCTGAGGGTAGAGAAAGAGTAGTGGCTTCACGGGGCTCAGCAGTAACTGGCAGGGAGCTCCCCTGCTTGGGCCTTCTGTGAGTTGAGACTTTGGGTTTGACAAGGTGGAACAGAGGGAAAAAGGTGTAAATCTGAGTGGAGAGGCAAAGTTTCAGGAGGCAGATGAACAAGAAGGGGAACCACAGACAGTGAGGAAAGTCAGGGCTTAGAGAAGGGAGGAGGGACACCAGAAAATTTCAACAGAGAAAATAAGTTCAAACCCATTTTTTTTCTGGAGTAAATTACTGAAGTTCTAAAATGCTAGTTGCAAATACAGGCTTTATTCTGCTCTCACTTTGTATGTATACACACACAGGGTGTGCATTTGAACTGCTCCAGGCAGTATGTCTCTTACCAGAGACCCTCTAAAGTTCTATTGCTGCTTCAAAAACCTGGGAAACACCAAACCAAAGCTGTTTACTACAGGTCAGATGGTGTTCTAGAGCTTCAAAAATCAAGTCACAAAAGTCTTAATCTTGCGAGGACTCCTACCTCCCTCTTTTCACTTAATGGGTTGTGGAGTTAAGGAATTAAAGAAATGTTTGAGTAGTTATTTATCCCTTTTGGTTTCTTCATTTATGTGTAGAATAAATTTTACCGAGAACAACAGGAAAGAGATATTGGCATACACGATTATTTAAGTGTTAGATTTTGCTAAAGTGCTTGAGCACTCAGGTTTATGAAGCTGGATGAGCTCTGGCGCTGTGGGTGCGGTGTGGAGCAGAAGAAAGCGTGTGCCTGGGAAAATACATACCATTATCTGAATGTATATAAGTGCTGGGACCCTGCCGTGCCAGGCACTTCTGTTGCAGAGCAAGAAGTCTGGAGGGTTACAGGAACATCTGAGTTCAAAAGGTTATGTCAGTACAGTTAGTTTCTAGGTATTAGCACTTTCCTTCTTCATTTTTTGGGGTAATTCTTTTGCTTACAAGCAGGTTAGCTTTTGTACAGCCCACGTTTAGAACCGTGTTCTACAAATACAGAATTTCATGCACAGTTTTGGGGTGTGTTTTTTTTGGTTTTGTTGTTTCGGAGGTTTTCTTGGTTTTGAGAACTCGCTGTTCACTTTTAATACACGAAGTAACTTCAGAGGCAACCTTTAGTTCCTCCGGAGCTGATGTTACTTCCTTCCAAGCTGATGTAACTTGATGTTACTCGTCACGGCGAGATCCTCCCCAGCCTCGCCGCCTGCCTTAGGCTTGTCCATAAGATCTCGGCCACGGGGAGGCGGGCGGTGGGCCGGGGTGGCGGGGCGGGGCCGCGCGGCCCGTGGCGGTGTGTAACGCTCT